CCAAAAAAAAAATCAAAATAAAAAAAAGGGGGAGGGGAAAGGCCAGAAACACTTTTGAATCCAAACAGAGGAAAAAAAAACCCCAAAAAAAAAAAAACACACAAAGCAGGGAAAAAAAAAAAAAAAAAAAAAAAAAAAAAATAAAAAAAAAAAAAAAAAAAAAAAAAAAAAAAATTCAAACAAGGACAGTTGCCTTCACTAGTTTGACCACTGGAAGCATCCTCACCGGCAGTCGGCACCGCTGCCCACGACCCGAGTCGCGTTGATTGTACCCATCATCTCTCCGGCTCTCCCTCTGCACCCCTCCCCGGTCGCTGTAGACAATCACGAATGCACAATAGGCCAGTGAGATCTTCCCGCAGTGAAATCCGCTTGTGGGCACCAATAAATGCCAGCATTCGGACGGCACCGATGCTACTAGATCGAGTCGATAAAGGAAGTCGATTCTTGCAAGGCGAGACTGATGCGTCTTTTGGACTGGGGTCGGAGAGCTTGAGGTGTCATTGACGTGGATTATCGGAGTGACTCCTTGAATAATGAAATGAGTTAGGCTTGGTACGCTGAGCTGTGAGCATCAGGCTGTAGCCAGGAGGCATATCGAGAGACGAGCGAAGAGAAAGTGTGGATTGATGCTATCTATGAGCAGAAGAGCAGAGGGAATTGGGAGATGGAGAGAAGCGGCGGAGAGAAGAGGAAGGGAGAAAGACAGAGGGAGATTTGGGCAGTGATCATCTGTGGTGAATGATGGATGGGAATGAGGGTAGTGAATCTAAGGCTATATCCAATCAGCAGGACTATCTCTTGATATTCACTACAGCTGAACAGAAGTACTTTTGATGTGAATGTGCTTTTCCAAGCTCAGGTCAATAAACTGTATTGGGAATCTCAGAGCTATCACAAATCTATCAGAATCATGGACAACAGGAAGGTGGTATCAAACACAATGTTAAAAGGCTACATATTATCAATCATGATATTCATCCGCGGTCTTGAACACCTCCCGATTAGGCATATCGGGACGAGTACGAGCAGACTGGCCATCGCCCTCCGACGCATTGATCGAATAAAAGGATTCCAAATCCCCAGACTGCCGAGGGGCTGACAACGTCTCGACAGAACCATTGGTCGACTTCTTATCGCTGACCACGCCGACTACACCAGTGGAATGACGGACGGCCCGGGTACTCGCATTGTCCAGTCCCGCTGTGGTCACAGCTAGTGACCTCGCATCATCGATGGTACTGGTATCTTCTCGCTCGGCGGTCATGGCGCTGCGAATCGTCCCGGAGCCGGCCTGGGAGGCAGGCCGGGGCTTGTCGGATCGGGCGGGAATCGTTCCGGTAGCGTGTAGCAAAGTCGTCGTGCTGGCATTATCTACATTGAACTGCTTGCTCTCATAATCGGGCAGGACGATCATAGGACTGCTGAACTTTCCCGTGTTTGACGATGCCGGACGAGACACGTCAGATCGGTTGGTATCGTGTTCAGCACCGTTAGATGGTTCCTGATCTTTTCGCAGACCGTCCGGTGCTTTCCCTCCGTTGATCGCTGCAAGTCCTTGAGTTGCAAGACGAGGCTGGCCCGGTGTAACCTTGGCCGGCTTTTCAGTCGGAAACGACTTATCTCCAGATCTCGGTCTGTCCATGGACGCCCATGCTCGTCCAGCTTCGACGCTGGCTAGCCGAGAGCGACCCTCCATCTGACGTTGTCTCGCAATGGTCTTCTTGTCATGCTTGCTCGCCATGCGGCTCCACATCGTCATCGGGTAGCTCTTCCGACCCTTTCCGCCCTTCTGAGGCAATACACCCGGAGCCATTCTTCTTGCCGCCAAGGAACTTGGAGGAGGAGTCTCCCCTTCAAAGTCCTGGAATCCGTGGGCCAACTCTTTCATCCGTTGCTTCTGCACTCGCAGCTTAGCCTTTGCAAATTTGATATCCCACTCCTCCTTTCCAGCCATCCATTTCTGGACCAGCTGCGGGTTCACTGCGCCGATTTTATCCCCCGGAAGTTGCAGGACGGAATACGAGGACGGGGGATCGAGTGGATATATGCGGCCTCTTTTGTCGACTCTTTGGCGGATCATACGATCTTTAAATGCGGGCAGTGAATCACCGGCCCTGCCGACGGATGCAACTGGCGGTCTTGAGGTATCTTTGTGGACACCGTTGGCGGCGGCGTCGAGATCGTCGGTCTCACTGGAGGAGATGGGAGAGACATTATTGTCATCGAGGATGGAAATCTCAGAAGTCTGGGAACATGCAAGAGCCCAGGCACCGAATTGAGCAATCGATCGGAACATGTACTTGGCCGGACGCGTAAAACTTAGGGTTGGCGCAACGTGACAGAGATCGTCCCATACCTGGAGCTGAACATACGTGCCAGGATATTTGTGTAAGATTTCACGTTTCGGATCATGCTTGTCAAGATACGCGTCACTGGGTGGATACGCTGTCGGATTGGCGGCCTTGTGAGCGAGGTAAAACTGCTCATCTCTTAACCGTTCGCCTCCCCCGACGAGGATTTGAAGTGGAGGTAGACCGCCAAGCGACGGTTGGAGTACTGGAGAGACGAGTGGGTGAGACATGAGCTGATTCGTTGCGTACATTTGAATCTGGTCTTTGAGTTCAACTGTCTGACTGCCAATAGGAATTTTGACGACTCCGGTCTCGTCAACGTCTGCATGTTGATGGCCCGGCGGAGCGGGTCCTGTCCGACCTAACCCGTGCTTCTCGACTGTGTATCCCTTCACTGCTGTCTCTTGAGCCCGGGCGTCCTCTTTGGGAATGGCGTCCTCCGCGGCACTATCTGGAGACTTCTTCTCTGCGTTCTTCATCGCGCGAATTTCATCCGCGTTTGGAGGCGGCCAGGCTGCGGAGGGCTTATGTCGGAAGCCATTCGGTGGGATGTAGTCACCTGGACAGTCCGATACCACACTGGGGAAAGAATGTGTAAGGTCAACCCAGGGTGAGATCAGGATCGCTCCGGCGGGCAAAGGCAGTCCTTGGTCGCGTATAGTGACCAACATCCTGCCAAAATTAGTACGACTCTAGAGCAGTAGGGGTGACTCTTACGAGAGCACCATGCCACCGCCTGCGGAATCTCCCGCAAAGATGATCTCTTTCGGATCGTGTTCGCTTAGAAGGAACAGATAAGCCGCCAAACAGTCCTGCAGGGCGCAGGGAAAAGGAAACTGTGGTGCCAGACGATATTCCGCTATTCATAGGTTTAGCTCCGTTCTGCATTCTGTCATCGGGCATAACTCACTACGCATGATTAGCATATACCTAGCCAAAAGAGGGACCGTCTTACCGTGCAAATACTCGTCCCTTGAGCTTTCTAGCATGCCGCTGCAATTGATACCGATGGGTCTCCACACTGCCGAAAAAGTAGGCACCGCCGTGGATATACAACATGATGCGCTTCCAGCTGGGATGATCGTCCATGCGTTTCCGCTCATGGTAGTCCGACTTCATCTCAATCCACTCTCCTCTGAGCGCCACCGGTCCACGCCATTGCCACCATTTCTCTCCCCCCACGCGAGCTATACCTTCGGGACCAAGTTGGTTGATAAGAGCGGTCGCAGCAGAGGAGAGGTACTTCTCTGGAATGAGGACCTTGGTTGTCTTTACCCAATGAGGGGCGGGAACTCGTTGACTTGTAAAGGCCTGGAGATCCTCGACAGGATGTTTGGCTGCATAGGTGAGGAATCCACGGATGATCTGGATTGCCTCGTCGTAGGAGATGTGGACGGTTGGTTTCGTGCGACGGGATTTTCGATGCAGATACTATCAAATCAGGCTGTCAGTTGCCTCGATGAGTGGGATGGTGGAAGAGATGCTGGCGGCACCCACATGAGAGAACAAGGTCGCGACGACGGTAGGCGTAAGGGCGGCACTCAGTGCGACCGTATTCAATGTCATGGCGTGACTGTCGGCAGACGAGATGTTTGCGATATTCAGAATGAACCATGAGTCCTTAGGTTTGGGGGTATATAGCAGGAACCGGAACCGAGGTCGGGCGGTCCGCGGTTGAGCCTAAGGGGCGAAGATAACAAATGCACGGGGAAGTATGTCTGAGGATATCAACTGCATCCCATGTTGGGGAGTAAGAATGGCCAGACCGTGTGTCTTAACAGGGACAATTATAGGCAGCGATGTCCACGAGAGAAGAGACAGAGAGAGAGGAAGAGAGCGAGGGAGAGAAGAAGCAAGGGGCAACAAGCACAGCAGGTGATGTCATCGCCCTCTTCGGCACAGATGATGCGCTAGTCCTTTTTTGGATGCAGAGTTGGAGATCCTCAGAAAGACACAAGAATGAAGAACTTGATATGAGCATCAGAGATGACAATCAATGGCAATTTGATAGCCTCTTAGTATGGCGTGACAATCTTTTCTAAACTCCGATAAAAGACTAATCCAATACTATATAATGACGTTTCGTCCGATCTGCAGGAAGCTCCTACATAGGCACATCCGGAGCCTGATGTGGCTTCGGTCTTTTTGGTACTGACATTCAACCACCCATTTATCTAGTGATTTTCATTCTCGAGAAAACAATTGCCTTGAGCAAAGAGGATCAGGTCCTGTACGTTGAGGAAACTAGTTCTTGGAATTATCTCCAGTTCCGTTGTGGCTGGCCTTGGGACCCGAGAACGCTGAGTTGACCTTGCTCAGGAGGACCTCAGGAAAAGGCCGGGCTCTGAGGGGATCATCATACTCCTGCTGGTTGAACGAGTGGGTCTCCACAGTGCGGAAGGATAGCCATTGGAAGAAAGTAAAAGGTACCTAGGTCCTAGATAGAGAATAAGCATGTGTCTTGTCTTTTAGTTCTTCGGCCGCCGGTAGATTTTGTCCCTCAGACCTTAGCTCTTTTCGTTCTGTTTCATTTTGGGATGAATTAGCTATGACGGATGAGCCTTTATCAAATCAGACAAGAGAGGGAACACACATTCCCGGTTAATATCAAATTTGGAGACTGCTCATTGATACAGCCATCCCCGCCGCGATGAACCCGATTAAGATGAAATGCCCGTAAAGCACGTTCTAAGAAATTAGAGGCTTGCTATAAAACCGGAGATTTGTATTCTTTTGTAACGGCTCTCAGAGGTCTGGCACGACTGGACCGCTATCCTTACTCCGCTCGGAAATGATCATCATGATGCTCTCTTCCACCATTGCCGCATTAAGTGGCAACATCATGGCTGTATACATCACTCCTTGGCTCATAAATAGGAGCTTCTGAACGAGGTGTTGCGATCCTATACAGAAAGCCCCTTGTAGGCCACTGACATATGGCAGAGAGTCGAATGAGCCGAAGAGGAGAAAGCGGGAGGTTGAAGATGGGTTCGTAGAAGAAGAGAAAACACCGAGGGTAGAAGACGCAAGCGTAGATAGGAGAGCATGGGTAGATGAGAGACCGGAAGAAAACATGTAGGGGTCGTTCACTATAAGAGTGAGGGAAAGTAGTGGCGTGGTTCGTCCCAGCGCTTTCAGTGCCTCGCAAAGTTCGGAGGCAATCAAGCTGTCGAGGCTTCTTCCATTCTCACTGATTCTGCTCCTCCCTTGATCTACAAGAAACTTTAAATCGATGCATAGTATCAAATGCACTTTCCCGCTGGACGCTTCGTATTCTTGTTGCAGGATTGATTGAAGGCTTAGGCAGGTATACCACCGCACTTTCACGCTCTTGTCTGGTCGTGCTGCTGCAACTCCATCCCTAACGTCGGCTCCTGACGCCTCAGGAAGCAACATCAAAACTTTCTGTCCCTTCTTCCTTCGTCGCTTTGTCAAACATTCCATGTTCTGCGAGACGATGGACAGGATCCCTGTGTAAGGGTCGGGAAACAGCATTGTTTCCATGGGATTCAAAGCCATGTTTCTAGGCAAATAAGAAGACATCATCGGGATAAAAGTTGTCAGCAGTAGTTTCTCGAGTGATAGATGAGCGGAAAATGTGCCCCATGTCCAGCGAGCCCCCTGGGCACCGAGGCCGAACTTTGACAGAGCTGAGACTCCCCTCGCACGGATGGCAGCAGATTTGGAATCTAACGAGCGTATAGGCTGTGGGCAAACCGCAAGAATTGAGGCATCGACATCGTCGGAAGACTTTGCAGCGGTAAAGTTATCGTCCGCTGGGATTGCAGAATTGGAGATGTTCATGTCTGGCGCTGTCTTGCCAGATTGAGAACTCATCCTCTTCGCTGTCCTCACACCAACAGCTTTTGCAATCCGGTCGATTTTATTCAGGATTTCGTCGATGTCTGCAGACGTGTGCAAACCTGTCAGGAGGAGACGGATAAGCGGTCGTCCCCGAGGCGCAGCAGGAAAGGCGGCCCCGGTGCAGATGAGTCCAATGGTTCTAGCATGCTTCAAGAATTCAAACATTCTATGCACATTATCCAAAAAAAGAGCAATCGTGCTTGAGCCTCTCATTGCTGCGATTTGGTAGCCTCTTGCTTCAAGGCCATCAATGAGATAGGAAGAGACCTGACGCAGCTGCACTAGGCGCTGGGTGATGAGAGTCGGCTTCTTCAAGATTTGCAGGGTTCGAATTAATGAAGCTGTGGCGGCATAGCCACCACCTGCCGCTCGTATGGCCAAGTTACTGGCCTCTAGGTGTGATGTTAGAGGAGCTCGGCAGAGAACAAACCCGCCCATGGATGATAGAGACTTTGAAAATGTGCAGCCCATCATATCGATGTCATCCACGCCAATTTCAGCTGCGCCCCTATCCTGAAAGAACTCCCCAATGCCGCGACCAGTGTGCCCAAGGCCAAGGAAGGAAACTGCTTCATCAACATACAGATTGAATCCGTATTGTCGTTTCAGAGTTATGATGGCATCAAGACATGGTACGGCTGCAAGCATACTATAGAACCCTAGAATGGTAACCCATACATTCTTCCTTCCTTTGGAGGCTGTGGAGTCGTCGTTGCCATAAATGTGCTGGAGCTTTCTTTCTAAATCGACCGCATCATTGTGCTGCCATCGAACAACCTTGCCTTTTGTTTTCGCGCACGCAATGTATGCCCCGGCATACATGCTGTTGTGACAACCCGAGTCCATCAGAAACACCGTCTCCTCGCAGCTTGAGGCAGCCATCGCCATCGCTGCGAAGGCAACCAGGTTAAACTGGTAACCAATCGAAGTAAGGACACATCCTTCGAAGCCCATGAAGCGTTTCAGCTCGTCTTTCACCGCCTCTTCCAGGCCTGCATTGCAGCCATCACAGTTATCCGCAAACGGTAGGTTCTGTATGGCGTATTCCAGCAATTTTCTGGTGTTGAATTCCAAATCCACAAAGCCAAGTTGACTGCTGCTTGCAATATTCAACACGTTCTTGTTCCCGACGGCAACCCGAGTGCCCTCGTAACTCCAATCGCTCATGTCGGACCGGACAGTTGGCGCAGCGTCAAGAATTCTGGGTGTACACGACAGCGCGGGGAACGCGTAGCATAGGACGAAGAAATCATTCCGGAAAGTGGGTTGCAGAATGTACTGCCTTATGAAATTGGCTGGCGATGGGGACTGTCTCGTAGTGCGTATGATAGTGCGGAGGACCGAGGCAGCATCTTGAAGTTGAGAGATTAAAGACTGGTGGTTGGTCACTGAAAACATGCTTCTGGAAGTGTCTTCTTTACTCTTCCACCCAGAATGCCAATATGGGTTCCGCCGGGATATTCCCTTTGATGAACCATTGGTTCCAGCCATAACTGAAGCTATACACGAATGGCAAATGCCAGGATCCTTTTTGGGAGTTGAAGTTCTTTACCAAAAAAGGCCTGTTGTTTAGGTGCTGTCTTATATGATGCTTTGCTTTGCCTTGTGAGCCAGAGTCAAAGTCTGCACTCTGTGGACCAGAATTATATTACTACCTCACTTACTATAGATAGGGATTCAGAGGACAATGGATTAAACATAGAGTCTGGAATCACTTAAGAAGAGTGGCTGCCTGAAAGCAAACTTACTTCCGCCAATAGTAGGATGATCCATGCACTGTACAGTAACCAGAATCACAGCCAGACATTGCGCAATGATACAATCTCTATTTAGTGGTACAGTGGCGGGGCTTATGATCTTATCAAAGCTTCCCTATATTAACGGCCTACGAGGATGGCTGTTTCTCAAATGGTTATGTTCTTCCCGGGTCTTTCTGGTGCTCAGGCATGGGTATCATTCATCCACTTCACATACTTATCACTAGCTTTGTAGACTATTAATCCATAGCCGCCATACACGAATCCATGGAGGAAGGGATCCCTCTATTCTGTGTACATGCAGCTGGAATTGTCCAAGATTGAAAGTGACACACTGCAATGCAACGCAAACCTCGGGATATCATACAATGAATGCATAAATGCGTGAATTACCCCTCTGTGCCTATTCAATATAGAACATACTAGTCTTACTATAGGTTCTACCTAGACAATGTGCAAGTCGAATATCAATCATGAATGGGAGAGAACGATAGCTGAGGAAGCAGATTAGAGCTTGGGACGATCTCAGGCGAGTGATCAGAATGGCAGAAGAAGACTATGGCAGCTACATGGATGTAGTCTACCAAGGTTGGAGTGACGCTCTATCAACTATCTCGCTGTATCTTATATAGGGCTCCCATACTCGACGAAGTTCTCCGCACTGTAACATCCCATCCAGCCGACGCATAGAGCTTTCCAATTCAGCCACTGTGGAAGACCTGCCCGTGAAGACAGCTACGCTGGGGGAAAAAGGAAGGAAGGTGGTGTCTGAATTCTGAACGCCCTGTTCCCTACGCGCCCGTGGTATGGGGAGACAGGGGAATGATGTTTGCGAATGAGGTGATAGACCATCTGCATGTTGACAGGACCACCAGTGACAGAAAGTCCCGACCATCCATCATAGCGCAAGAAAGCAAACATGACTACTGAATATTCCTTGCCGTCATTTGCTGCAGCATCGATGAGGTGTGGTGGCGTCGAGGATTACGTAGCAGTGTACATGGAAAGCTAAGTCCACAGACGTGATGGTCGGGGGAGAAAAGAACCATATATCTTGACAGGATTCTCCATTTTCCATCCCTTCCTTCTATGTCATAACAGGACCCGTTCATACAAGCTGATATCCAAACACTCAATCATTCAAACCCTTGCAAAAGCCCATCTAACTCTGTGTCCATCCGTCCATCATCAGCAATGGCCCCGTCTCCCACCGAGATCAAAGCCATCTTTGATGCAATTTACCAAGGGGGAATCGCCCAGAACCCGTTCTCACAGGAGCCAGAAAGATTGGAACGATTTCTGTCTCCTCACGCAGAGATCCACATCGTGGGCCAGGAGTTTCCCCTCGCTATTCAAAGCAACAGCCTAGATGCTGTCATAGAAAATGTCGCCCGGCCATGGCATAACCTGTTGGACCCGAATAAGCCCTCGACATCCGAAGTCATTCGCGTGATAGGTGGCGGGAGCGATTCATGGGCCGCACTCGATTGTAAAACCACGGCGACGACTAAGGCAGGCAAGTTATTCCATGGATGGGATCGCGTGTCTCCTCTTATGGCTAATCAATATCGAATAGGAGAACCGTTTCTTCATGAATTTGCCTACTTGCTACACTTTGATGGTGATGGGAAGATTTCTGAGATCAAGGGATTTGTTGACACTCTGAACATTCATAACCACCTGGTGCGCAAACAATAGTTATTATCCTAGTGTCTCAGTTGACTGTTGTACTCGACGACTTAGCTGGCCATAAATGCATTAGCTCCTGGATCCTGCCCGACAGGTCATTCCAGGCAAGGTCTTACCATAGGGAAATTTACTTAAAATATAGACTTATTCAAACCCTTGGAGACTTTCTGCTTGAATCATCTCAAACCTTAAGGATATCTGTTTATACCCCTTGTGAGTTGTACTTGAATTTCACATCTAATCAATGTGAGCTGTGTATTTAAAGACACTCACAGATCATAAGACTCTTTTAGTGACTAGTGATCCAACAATGGAAGCCCACATATATGTTGATTTTGGGTCCAGAATAAGAGAAAGTTCGTTGGCATTTGGTTACCTCACTCTTGAAAGTCAGAGGTGTCTGAGATTGAACCATGATGGGTATAATGCCATGGATTTTAAAGGCATGAGTATGTAGAACATTCATCAGAGCATTCAGTCAATAGTGGACGTCAGCAAATTGTTATATAGGGATATAAAGCCTCAAGTGCTTGCAAAGGTCAAGGATCTTCTGTCAGTGCTGAGTCACTATATACATGTTGACCATTCTCATATCTTTTTGCCCTGGATTGATAAGGAAAGATATCAGAATTGTTAGAGACTCTGGAAAGGGAGGAATGGGGGATTGATATATCTTAGCTGGGAGGATTGTAATTTGGGTCCGGGATTGGGAAACATATAAGTCATTTTGATCATTAACATACGATTGTAACTGATATTGGTACCCCATATTATGTCAAGGGTTACTACTGGCTTACCCTAAGAAATTTATAATGATTCTTGCACATTACAACGCAAATCATACATCACACTTATCTAAGCTAAAGGAGACCTAGGCAGATAGCTTGGTGTCTAGCATATCTTCCACTTCTCATTATGCAGAGACAATCGTCCCAAATTGTCATCGGAAGATGCTAGAGATTTGCTTTGTTGAATTAGTATTAGATAAGTTATAATTTATCTTATTCTATTACATACAACCATAGGGTGTGGAAAACAGGGCTTCCTATCTTCAAAGCTCCGAATTCCCAGAGGTTGTACTGGTGCATGTGGAAGAGGGTTAAACATAAGGCGGATCTAGGGGAGAATATTAAGTGACTATTTACAAACTCTCTCTGAACATGACTATCTGCTTTTGTATAGCCGCAGTTGTTTTGTTGCTGGACATGGCCAACTCCTACAGCGGCTCTCGCCTCAGCTAGAGCAAGAGCGCACCGTCTCGCGGCATGGGCACGGGGCTCGTATATTAAGGGGGAGGCATACGCATCCTTCTTTTTCTTCCTGCCTCTGCTGGTTCCGTCCTCCTCCAGCTTCGCATCCCCTATCTACTCTTATATTCTTACTGCCATATTTTCACTACGCATTGACACGCGGTACGCAAAACTTCAAACCGAAGTAATTCTTAGGCCGTTCCGACAAGGTTGGTGCTCTCGGTACCCCCCGCCTGTACGGAGTACGGAGTACGGATCCAGTACATTATGTAGCACCCGACTGGTTCCTGGAGGTCACGGCCTTGCTGTGGGGACGGGTGCGAGGTCCAGGGCTACCATAGACGCTGCACAGCATGGAATAAAGGGAGATAGACCCAGCCCCTCTTATTTCCTATCAAGTAGATCATGCAGGCCTACAACACATGCCCGAGGGACTAGGAACTGGTACTGAATTAGTTATTGGATGGTGGGTGCAGCTGTCCCTACATAACTACAACATAACTACACTACGGTATCGTCACGTGCACACCAGAAAATATCAATCGGCCCCTTTCCTGTCTTTTCATCATCCAGGCATCAATCACTTGTCGCATGAAGCCGCTAAACATGGCATTATACAATCGCTGCAAAGCCCATGCCATGTGGCTTCACGCTAGCGATGTGTCCACTGCCCCGGTCCATCCTACCCTACCACGCCAAAAAGCTTTCTCCACTTTGCGCGGCCCTCTACCCCGGAATAACCATTTCCTGTTACCAGCCGTTACTGCACCGTCCCGCATGAAGAAGAGGTTTGAATCTTCACACTTGGGAGCTGCACGGCGAATGCTAAGCACACGAGCTGAACGCCTCTCGCGGCTCGAACAGTCATCGCCGATTTAGAGGACGTCGCCGCGACGGGTCCGAATTCAGGAACGAAGCCGATCGTATCGACGATATCCTTGAAGCAGACGGATTCCAAACCTGGGGCTTGGTCACATACAGATGGACGTACGCCAGCGACTCCGACTGGGCCGAATTCATGCGGCGGATGAACTGCTGTGTAAGGCAGTCTCTAACAGCCGATAACAGTCCTGATCTGTTTGACTCCTTTGCACCAACTGTTCTTCAAAATAAAGAGGCCTTTGATCGAGCCAGCACCACCGCCATCCGCAATTGACAAGACCTATGGTAGTGGTGCGATTTGAATTGCGACCGCCTCACCGATAATTCTCTGTCTTCTATTCTTCTGTCAACGGGGGCTGTGGGGGCGAAAGTTTTTGCAATACCACTATGGTAGCAAACGAGATCGGAACGAGATTCTAGTTGATCAATTCTCACCAGCTTCTCTGAAGAACGAGATATTGTACTGGCTGCATCTGCATGGAGAGTACATAACCACCTGGGATTGGTTAGGCTACGTAGATGTTTGCGTAGCTGCAACTGACGACTTCGACCCAGTTACCCTTGGGATACTAGGAAGGAATCGCTTTCCAAGTCAGCATCCACAGCCAACGTTAATCGCCTCGCTCATTCCGCAACTCCAATTCTGCGACCCCATTAGCGGGGCTTTGCCATGACCGGTCGGCCCCCAGCACGGCGCCCTCATTCTCACTCCGAAGCTTATGGGCTCGCACAAACAGATTAAAAACGGTAGCTAGTCCGGCAAACGCCAGATACTAATAGCACACAGGACATACCGTTAGCATAGATGCACTGACAGGTTTGAAAGACGGCAATGCAACGCGTTGCAATGTTGAGGTGACTTACCATGATCCACACCATTCTCAACGCCTCAAAGTACGTCTTCCTAACCAAGACCTCTTGATCTGCATTTAGTCCAAGGGTGCTAATCTCCTCCACACTCGAAGCGGCAAGGTCGCCATTGAATTCGCGGGCTAGAGTTGAGTTTGAGCCCAGCTGGCTTGCTAACCCCTCGTTCTTCGCATTCATCTCATTCTGAAACACCACACCCCCGACAACAACCGAAATAGCCGTAGAGAGAGACCGAACAAACCCCATCGTCGCAGTGACGGCCGCCGTATCCCGAACACTTGTCGCAGCCTGAGCAGCAAGAATCGGCGCTTCGATGTTCATGCCCACACCGATTCCGACCAGGATCTGGAAGATGATGAGTTTGGTTATGTTGGATTCAAAGTCGAGACTAATTAGCAGGCCGGAGCCGAGTACCAAAAAGCCCTGGGCAATGTACATCACCGGGAGGTATTTCCCGGTTTGCTGCATGAAGATCCCCGCTGCGGCTGCGGCCAGGGAACATGAGACGATTAGCGGGAGGAGGTAGAGGCCTGATGTTAGCGCGCTTGCGGCAAGGACGGACTGCGCATATAAGGGCAGGTAATATGCCTGTCCAATAAACACGTATGAATTGCACGCGAAGACAACGTAAGGCGCTATCTTTGTCGGCGAGGTGAACAGCCAAACAGGGATAATGGGGTTCTTGGCGATCTTCCATTCGTTCACCACGAACAGCGCCATCACTGCTGTTCCGAAAACCAACAGACAGATGACCGTTGCGGAGGACCAGGAGTAGACGACGTCACCAAAGTCAAGGGCGAGGAGGATCATCAGAGAGCCCCCTACAATCAAAAGGCTGCCTGTCCAGTCGATGACTTTTAGACCGGCGGCGATGGGTGTTCGAGGACTCGGGACTCTCATGAAGAAGAGCAAGACAAGAAAGGAGACGGCTCCGACCGGTACTATACGGGTAAGCTTAGGGCCATCACGTTAGATGGAATGCCTCACAGTTAATCCAAAAACACCATCTCCAGCTAAATCATAGTCAGCCTTGTCGTTCCTTCAAATGGGGCGGCACCTACCTCAGCCTCGTCGTAAAAACGCCACCCAGAACCGGCCCTATGGCACTGCCAACCGCCCAAACAAGCGAAGTGATTGCGAGATACAACCCCCGATCTCGCAGCGAAAACATATCACTGACAACAATGTTGACCATTATCCCCATTCCGGAGCCGCCCAATCCCTGAATCGCACGTCCCACGATCAGAGCATCCATATGCGGCGCAAGGGCGCAGATAAGACTGCCGACAAGAAAGACCGCGACCGCGATGAGCATAATGGGTTTCCGGCCCCAGATGTCGGAGACCGAGCCCCATACTGGAGTAATGGCTGCGTAGGCCAGGGTATAAGCGCTCCCCACCCAAATATAACCGGCGGCGGTCTTGAACGTGCCGGCTATGGCGGGAATTGCAGGAGTAACGATCGTTAAGTCAAGGGCGGAGAGGAGCACGGACAGACAAAGCGACATCATGGTCCAGGCAATGGTGGCGGTGGTGAGATGAGGAGACTCTGCGGACGCGTGCACGGGAGTGGCATTGTCAACAGTGCTGCCGGGGGGGGGGATCGGTGCGGGGCAATGAGGTACGATTGTTCGTGATGAGTTTTGAATTAGACGTTGAGGAAACTTTAGCAAGTCCTAGAGCCTTGGACATTGTCAGGACGAAGTAGAGCGGAGAGTTTATCCAGATGGAGGGATTTAATATTCAATAGCAGACTTTCTGAATTCCTCAATGTCTGGTGTGAACTGCTCGAGAGGCTTCGCCACTGACTGGTAGAAATTTCCCAGCTGCTCGACAGTCCATTTATTGGTAACAACAGCGACATGGGCGTCTGCTAGGGCTTTATTGAAAGGATCATCCGCAAATGGCACCTTCTGAAGCCTGTATCCATTAATTTTTAGGAACATATCAGCGGCCAGAAGTGCCGTTCGCTTGTTGCCATCCTGATAGGCATGATTTTTCATGATTTTCTGATTCAGGCGATGCACTCTGGATTTGGTTAGTCCGTGGCAGCAAACCAATTAATGGCACGAATGTAGCGCATTTATAGGTTGACGGACCTTTACATCTCTTCAATTAAAGTCCTAACTTGTTATTACTGGATGAACTGTCTGCCCAATATTTGTCCTTGGATGGCCGTGTTGACCTCTGCAGGGAGCCATTCTCCTCGACTTGTTTCCTACGCAAAAAATAATGCGTATATTGGCTAGAACACGGGTCAAGAAGACAATCTCTCCAAGACTTCTCTGCCCTTTTCACCTAAGTTCGGAAACTTTCTCAAATGACGCAAATCCATCCAAAACTTCTTTGCATCCTCGTGTCCATCACCATGTGCTCTGAAACGCTCTTGTAATAGCTTTTTCCATTCGGCATCTTCCTCAGTCCACCCCCAAGAAGCCGAAACATATTCGTACCATATAGGGTAATAGGCAGCAAATTCCCAGTCAAGTATTCCAACCAGGACTCCATCCTTAACCATAATATTGCCTAGATTGAGGTCACAATGAGTGAGAACATACGGTTCACACCTAGGTAGGCTTTTCTTCAGATTCTCCAAGGCCTGTTGAGGAAACGTCCCCTTAGATAAATTGCGGAGGTTGAGACTTATAGCGTCCCATAGTTCGAGGTCGGAGTGAAATGGTCCATGTGGTTCACGATCAGAGAAAAGTAGCCCAGGGTAACATGGACTTTGATCAACACATTCTATAGATGTGGATGTGAGGGATCATAGCAGATTGCGGACTTCAACAACTTGGTCTGCTATAGCTGATTTCTGGGGCTTTGTTAACGAGGGCCAGGCCTGCTCGAGTGTTTCTCCTTGTACCCGTTTCTGAAGTACAAAGTATCGCCGGTTGCTGTCGACCCAGTCACACAAGATCTTCGGAACTGGAATACCAGGGTACTTTGCCAGGTAATTCAGCGTTTTCACTTCGGTTTTTGGACCTTCATCAGGCCGCTCTTTCATAATCACATCAGACCCAATTAACCACACACCCCGTCTGCTTGCACCATAGAAGAGTTTGACATGGCTTGAATAAGAATACTGCTCTTGCTGATCGAGCGTCCAACCACATGCAATATAGCCCTTGGATTGTTCCGCCATATTGGAGAACAGAGAAGAGGTGGCAATGAGTTCTTTAAGGGGGTGTTCACAGAATTTAAATTAACTGCCTGTGTTATGGTTCACCGCCCGCTACGACAGACAAGAGGGACAAGCCCAAGAAACTGAAAATCAACCTTGCAGAATCCGGGAAAATAGAGAATTCTGATTTTCTATATTTCTTCCAAACAGCTTTATGAATTGTCCCTCGCGAATGTGTAATTGGGAACCTGTTTGAGTTTCGGGAATATTGATAGACATAAGAATACCTACCTCTTTCATAGTGATAGATGTGCTCTTAGGGATGTGGAACCCCCTCACCCAAGCCAAAGCTATCTCAAAATCCCAGCGGAAATTCTCAATAGTTTCTAGTGTAGGCTGTTCCTTGATTTAACCTATTGTGTTTCTTATATAGAATTCTAAAAACCCTTTATATAATTTTATATTAGGGGGAAAGCAGGCAGCTAGGTGTAGCTTAAGAAATCTATAACTATAAGCAATGAGCCTCTATACACCTATAAGAAACTTACCTATTAAAAATCATTAAAGTCTAGTTATACTTTTAAGATATCCATGGAAGAACTGCTCATTTAATTTCCTTATTATTATGATTATTAAGATTAATCATGTGCATAAATCTTACTATCTGTTCTTGTGTTATGCTGTCTGATTAGTATTGAGCATGGAGGAAAAGGAATAGAGTGAAGTGATTTATCACCCTGTGATGGGCATCATTTGCCTAAATGTCAAAATATAACTTTTAGCTAGCTTAGGTGTGAGATATTTAGGGTGCTTGCATCTTCACCTGAAGACACCTGAATATTAGCAGCAAAGTGGTGACAGAACAGATGTTGGGATGGGTAAGCTCCAACATATACATGCTGTTGTATGTTGTTTTTTTTTTTTTTCAGAGGATAGAGATAATTAACATTTCATCCTCTTCTATACTTCTGGACGCACCGGGTTGGCCAAAAAATAATTACAGTTTATTAATTCTTTTCCCTCCTTCTTTTCCCCGTGCCTACACCTTTAGCCAGACAACATTCAGTTCCTTTCAACCGTCACCTCCTCATGCACTTGGATGGAGTTGACATACGGCCGATTTTGCTCTCGGTGAGAAGCCACGAGCATCTCTTCGTCTGCTTCCCTCACATGCTGAACGTACAATGATGTGTCGCCGCGAGGCACATCAAATACCGTATTTCCCAAGACGGTCGACGTCGTGGTCGCGATCTCGCCCTTTCGAGCCTGGTTGCCCAGGTGCTTCATGCGAACTCCTGGGTTGGATTCGCCACTCTCGTCCTGTTTCCGGTAGCCCTCGTTGGATTCTTTGAACCGCGACCCGTGGACGATATGGCGGTACAGGGGGCGAACGGTGGGGATGCCGACGCAGATGAGCGTCGCAGCGAGTTCTACGGCGGACCAGATGATCAGATCGACAGTGTCCTCTAAGAGTGGGCAAGAGTATGTCAGTGATTGAACTCCGGGGATGAACAGGAGCGAGGGCTACTGACCGGTATAGTTGGCACTTGACAGTCCGCCCAAATCAATCGTCCGGATAACACCGCATATACCGGCACTGGGACAGTCAGCGTCGCTTGTGGAACATAGAAGGGTGAGAAACGAACATAAAGCCCAGACTCAAGCTAATGGCGATGATCAACTTCTCCTTTTGCTTCATGTTCAGATTCCAGATGAAGATCCAGGGCAGGATCGCAAAGTAAAAGTCCACCGCGGCACACCATGCTAGACTGGTCAGCTCAGGATCTCTGACTACCTTTGCAACATAAGCTCTTACAGCCAAGCAATACTGAAAAGGGAACAATGTGGACGACAGTCCGCCCGGGGACACGCGGATCATAAATGGACCTCGATGGCAGCCGCTGGATCCAGAACACCACTGCCGTCAGGACCGAGACAATAGACAGGCTGACCATTGATGCCCAAATCGACACTCGATGCCAGGTTTTAACCACAATGCGGAGGAGGAAGATACCCAGAGACAGCTTGGCGATCGCCATACCCAGGACGGCAAACGTCTGCCCGATCATCTCCATGTAAACCGTGTGTACCGCCTCATCCATGGACAAGGTACTGATGGGCTGCCCGAATCCGTGCCGATTGGCAATGGTGAGAAACACGGTGTAGAGCAGCAAGAAGACCTGGCATCAGTCAATCCACGAAACATGCGCAAAAAATGTCATGAACGAACCCAGCCAAGATTGTACACATGATCATCCAGCCCCAGGGCTCTGAGGACAACGATTCTCGTGTACAGGCGCAGAGGCACCAGGATGAATGCCAGCATGGTCATCGCCCACATGACGGCGATGGCTTTTGTGCCTTTACCAACTGCCATTCTAAAGCCCTGCCTTCTGAGTATGGTGTTTCTTTGACCTGAGGCGAGGAGGGTGTTTATCTCAGCTGGCTGGCTAGCAGATAGATATACATGCAGTTTCGTACTTTCTACTCAGGGTAGAACGTCCGTGAGCTGTCATTCTGAAGTCCTCCTCAAGATCAGTAATTGATATTTCGCATTGCGGAGCGATCCCGATGATCCATCAACTCGATAGATATCCCATTCAATTTGTGCGGTGATCATTTGTTCCCAAAGATCAAAACGGCCTCCGGATAGGAGCCGTCCATAGGATACCAGGAAACATCTTCCGGGACTTTTCTTTTGTGACAGGTCCCGGCTCGTTTAGATGGGACTTTTAATCCTCCAATCACACCTGCGCTTCGCATCGGCAGACTACTCCAGACTCTGCATCAGCTTCTACTAGCACTGCAAGGTGTCATCTGGCCCCTGCCGGACGTTTGAAAAGACGCACAGGGCACTTGCGGCCTGGTTGCCTCTGAAGAGCTCTCAATTCTGTCCTCGAGATACGGGCATCTTGTCCACTGGGACCAATCAAGAGAATCTTTCAAGAAGTTTCAAGAAGCCACAGTGGTACTTTTGACCATGAAAATGGCCCGTGCGGATTCAAGTTACCTATTCTTTTCTCCTCTGTGCATTAGTGGATGATAGCGGACGTTAATCTAGGAACTAGACCTCCGCTTCCAATGGGGGAGAATCCTGAATCTGCAGACCATTAGTCATTGTCGTAAGCCTTCCATGCGATAAATTGCCCTGGGAGATGCGTAAATACTGCAGACCCCAGGCCGATGCCCCTGTCGACTTTGTATCTGTTTCATACCCCCGAAAGACAATCCATTGTTACCCATCATGAATGCATTTCTGTCTGTGGCGCTGGACACCGCACTGGGGGGCCCTGTCAACCCATTTTTTGGTGCTTTATGCGCTGCCCTCATCGCCTGGTACTTGGTGACGTATCTCATCTCGCCTCTACGGCGCTTCCCTGGTCCAGTTCTCGCCGGTATGTGAGGTATACCCCCCAGCCCAGTTTGCAACAACCCTAATCAAGGTACTTGTGACAGGATGGACCAATCTCTGGCGAATCTACCACGTCCAGAAGGGGAAAGTCCACCTCGTCACCACCGATCTGCACAAAAAGTACGGTCCCGTTGTTCGAATCGCACCCAATGTTGTGGACTTGGATCTACCCGAGTTGATCCGCACCATCTACAGCACCCGGGGCGACTACCGCAAGACCGAGTTCTATCATGGCAGTAGTGCGAAGAACGACGGCAAGATCATCTACAATCTCTTCAGCGAATGTGACCCGCAGGTGCATGCGCAGCAGAAGCGGCCGATCGCAAAGCATTACTCCATGTCGGGCGTGCTGCCGCTGGAGCCCCATATCGATGAGACTATCAGCCACCTGTGTCAGAGACTGGAGGAGGAGTTTGTTGATGGGCCTAAAGCTGGGAAGCTCTGTGACATTGGCCAATGGCTGCTCTACTGTAAGTAACATCTTAGCAAACCCCTTGGCCTAAACGAGTGCACCTGCTTACCTCGATTGCAGATACCTGGGACGTGGTAGGAAAAGTGACCTTCAGTGAACCAATCGGCTACCTCGAGAAGGGCTGTGATTTCGACCAGACCATCGCTATTTCCGACAAGGCGATGGACTACTTTGCTTTGGTTAGTCAACTGCCCATCCTCGACCACCTTCTCGACAAGAATCCCGTCTACCGGATCGGTCCCCCGTCATTCGGAAACATCACCAACATCTCCATCCAACACCTCGTGGACCGCCTCCAGGGCAAAGATACAGCATACCACGACCCAAGCAAGCCGGACTTCCTAGATAAGTTCATCGAAGCAAAGGCCAAGTTCCCCGATGTGGTCGACGACGCCCAGATCATCTCCTACCTCATGATCAACATGATTGCCGGCGCGGACACCACCGCCATCAGCCTCAACGCGGCGCTGTACTTTGCGCTCAAGAACCCCGCCGTGTGGAGACGGCTGCAGGATGAGATTGCATCCCTCCATTCTGAATCATCCACGGCAATCATGCCATTCAAGGTTGCGCAGGATCTACCTTACCTCAACGCGGTCATCCGTGAGGCTATGCGTATGCACCCCGGTGTCGCCATGTGTCTGGAGCGATACGTCCCTGACCAAGGCCTTACCCTTCCGGGTGGGGAGTATATCCCTGGCGGATGCATCGTCGGCATGAATCCTTACGTCCTCGCCCGCAACACATCCGTTTGGGGTGAGGACGCAGAAGTCTTCCGGCCTGAGCGGTGGCTTCGCGACGCCACCCGCGAGACCGAGGAGGAGTACCAGGAGCGACTCAAGCGGATGAATGCTGCTGACCTGACCTTTGGCGCTGGGAGCCGGGTGTGTATTGGACGGAACCTGGGGATGATGGAGGTTTACAAGGTGATGGCCACACTGGTCTCGAGGTATGAGATCGAATTGGCAGATCCTAAGGGGGAATGGAAGACGCATAATAGCTTTTTTGTCCGTCAAGAAGGGATTGAGGTGAGGCTTCGTCGGCGTAGCACTTAGGCAGCCAGCTTTTATCGTTTAACATTTCTAGTGTCTGCGTTCCATTATGGTTACTGAACAAGATAATGATGTTAGTCATTCATGCAGTCACCTAGGTTTACACAATCATTCACTGTTAAACTTCTATCAGACTCTGGCCATACCAGGTAATCATCACCATACTCTAGCTTAACTCTATTATCCTGAGCCTATGCTACTATTTCACGTAGGAAAAATGTGACAAGGACAGCTGATTACAACGTCTAGAAAAGAATAGCCAGAAGTACCTCATTATTGTACCTAAAGTAGCTTTATTGCCACTAGTAGAGCTAAGATATGTTGCTTTGGCCTAAAAGCCACAACTATGTTAGAAGACGCCAGCACATAATATAGTCTTTATTTCACCACGCAGCATAAACTCCCAATATAACACTGTAGCATATCAGCATGCAGTTATGGAAAGAAAAAAACAGACTACCAGACTAATTTTATCCCCAGGAGGGATCAACCAGGCTCTAAAAGCTCATGCTGTTTCCAGAGATTGCACCTTCAATGCATAGGTCATGGCTTCCCCCTTAACTCTCTTAATCTTCGAGTATCCCAGCCTGGAGCAGTGCCTTATTGTTGACTTGGAGTGTCTTACTTATTATATACCCTTATGACCTGAGCTGCGGAGGATACCAGTGTACTCTATTTCTAAGATATAAAGCCAAGGGGAGTGATTGGTTGGTTGGAATCATATCCTGTGAAACTACCAGTCAAGTTAGTTTTCTGTTTCTTAGAGTAGTCTATGTCCTGGAGAGTTTCTCTTAACAGGAAAAAGTCCTATATGCTAGCTTCTGTCTCATTGAAATCAGGGTTGTTAGTACCATATCCATTAATCTATTTCTACCCACAGCAAATTCTGTGGAGGGCTGGTTACCAGATGGGTCAATCACAGAAGTACTGGTCCACTGGATATGCTGTAGTCAACCAAATCAATAGTATCCGAGCAAGTTTAGTAGCCTACCCAGGCATAGCAACACGTGTGGAGGAAATAATAGACTGTCGTACTGCACAGCAACCATGACTAGGAATAGATTGGCAAGTGTTCTCAAATCAACAGTTCCCCAATATAGCCATTGCATTCCTTTTCTTTTCCTTGATGTATCGAATGTGATACATCTGATTAGAATCAATTGGATATGAGAGGGTCTGGTAGTTCTGACGTGCAAAAGCAGTATTTAGTTCCTTAGTACACTGTCAATCCATGATTGACCTTAGAGCCCAACTCTGAGGACGGAGATGACATCTAGCTTCATGAAAATGAAGACAAGCAAGCTTCCGATGGAGATCACACGGGGTGCCGCACAGACGAAGTCAACGGGTCAGTGGGGTAGGACCCTCGAGGCAATGATATGCATTGTGCTGCAGTATATTCTAAGGACGACCATCTTGGAAGAAGGCCTGATACAATGAGTTTACGTAGGATGCATAATGGTTTGAGCAGGGAGAGCAGCTTTCTGTCCTGAGCTGCACCGCTTCGTTATCTATATGACTCAGCATTTCTGGGACCAACTTGGCCCATTGGGATATGTGATGAGATGGTCTGTAGGTTTGACATGGCAGGGAGTATTAGGGCCCTATGTGTCTAGATTTTTTGCTAAGCGCATCCTTTCAGACTGACTGTTCCTCATCATCTGTACAGACGGTTCGCAAAATGAAGTTCAGCATGTTTTCATCAAGATTGGGCCGCGAAGTTTCTTCTGCCATGGCCTTTGTCCTTCACAGAGCTTCTCATACTCCATTTGTCAAAAAGCAGGTACTGCATATGACGGCAACTATGGCTTGTGGTGTAATGTTTGGGCCAGGGAGCAAGTCTGTGTAGAACAAGTGGCGTTGCACTATGGGCATTCATGCTCATAAGAGAGGAATTTGATGTGTGAGTAGGCTGAGGGGGAGGAAAGTGCAGAGGGGCAACTATGAAGAGACAAAGATTAAGTGATTCGCAGATCCCAGTCTCTTCAACTACACATGGTTAAGTGCTAGGCTGCCTCACCCTTAGCCATAACCACAACTTCCACAAGGCTAGACCTCACATTAAAAAGCTACAAGCTGGCCACCGTGGCAGGGCAGCTAGCTTGATTTATGAAGAGAAAAAAGAAGACAGAAGCAAAAACATATAACAGCATAAGTATGGTGGTGGTCACCAGGCACTGTGTGGGCGGCTTGCCGCCCTATTCAGTCTTCCTTCAGGGCGCTTCAGTGTTCGCCCACTCGAATACTATACACCCGAGCTAGAAGGAAGTCACATTTGCGCAAGTAAGACCAGTAAGCAGCACCACCCCCTTACCCCCTGTAAGCATGAAGATTTTAAGGTCTACGTAATTCTTCTTCTTTCACCAAAGCCATACGCTATTAAGCTACAAATTTACTGCCTACCAAGACTTGGATAATATAGCAGGAAAAGGCGTGTCAACCTTTAATCAGCTAGTTAATCTGGATGACTATAACAACTGTGAAATAAGTCGAGCGGTGCTCCCACACACCGAAGCAAAGTATAATCAAACTCTTCGGATATTTAATAGGTTAGCTATAACAGCTACACGGAGATCGGATACTAACAGGTTATAGATTACTTTCTTTATATCCAACAGCCGTGTCTCCTCCTGATATCCAAACGAATCAAACCTACAAGAGGTTTCTAGAATTTGTGGCTAGAAATATGAAGGGTCAACTTAGAAATAAGCAAACACTGATACAGTAATACTATTAACTATTAATAGGTTCTTGTAGAGACTTTAAGGTTGCACATATTCTACGACAGGATTATAACTTGCCGGATGTGTAGGGCTGTTGATTCAATTGTACTAGGCCAACATGCGGTTTACAACAATCTCGAAGAAAGGAAGAGAATCGGTCCCGTTTCGGTGGTGAAACGAGATGATTCCTTTCTGCCGAAGGCGGTATCCATCCTTCATCGTTCGCCAAAGGAATACATAAGGCCATGGCACATGGTTTTACTGCCGGGCTCTAGCCCGTTACACCCTATTTGCTATGTACAACGCGGCGCCAGTATACTAGGCATTTTACTTGTCATTATAGTTGTTGGTTCTGTAGACATTCTCTTGTCACTCTGTATTTCCCGTTGGGGCCACGAAATGAAGCACACCGACAACATTCCGTGACCAATGGCGACTGGTCACCTCGATGGGATCCAGTCGTGTTTTACTAAGACCTTTCTGGTCATAATGACGGTGACACAGCCTTTATATTATAATTAACCATCATTCTAGAATAACGGCCGCCTTTTCACTTATAATGTGACCTTGTGTGTCACCTTCCAGAAGAAATGGCTGGCTGAGCTCTTTGATCAGACCGAGTCCAGCTGCATTCTCTCGCACTGAATAGGCCTTCATTATCCCATGCACGCAGACCTTGATGTGGCGCTGCCGTCCGTCCTCCGGAACAGGTACGATTGCTCCAACCTCATCTTCCGCCCGCATGGTCTGCGGGTCGTACACATGGCCTGGTTTGAACTGCACGAGTTGATAGCGCGTTCTGTTGTGAGGGTAGCAGCTCGCACGTAGGGTGATGGCATGACGGAATAATATCCGCGTATGGCGCTTGAGGTGAGCGCCCATGTCTTCTGAATGGAGTAAAGGGGCCATCATATTGAAGAACTCAAATTGTATCTGTTCAGTGTAACCAGGAACAAATACTTCTTTAAATTCAGAATTCTTCGTTAGGGTAAGATAAACGGCTGCGCGGTGGTATCTTTCTAGGGTTTCAGGTGAAACTAAGGTTAAATCAAATAATGGTGAGCCAAGTCATTGTTTATAACGCGAAGTTGGTGAAATTAGAGCCTCACATACTGCTTTGTTCTAGAATGCTTTGGTACTGCCTGAGCATTACACCGTCAAAGTGCAGGTCTCCCCATATCTCCGGGGCGTGAAACACGCGCTTCTGTATGAAGCCAAAAGTAAGAGCGCGGAAGGCTGACACAGGGTCTGTAGATAAAAAGTCTTTGCTGATTATGGTTTGCTCGATGAGGAGAATCAGATCTTGGCTTATAGTTTCATCCTTCACGTGATGGCGTCGGATCTTGCAGAGCGAATTTGCTGTATAGACCACATAGTTACTCAATGTATCCATCTCCTTGTATATAAATCCTGTTGACATGACAAAAGCATCGTTGCACGATGGAGGGGGACGGATAAGCTCAACAAACTCAAGGGCACTTGAAAGGCGGCGGCGAAGTCTCTTTATCTCATTCTTCTGGTCAAAAAATTCATCCGCAGAGAATCTAGTGTTGGTGGGATCGCCAGTTGAAGCGTCCTGGGATGCTCTGAGATTGGCTAGTTCCGCCCTGAGACGGTTGTTTTGTCGCTGGAGAGTCTCATTCTCTTTTCGCAACGAGACCGTCTCATGGCTCCTGCAAAGTAACGCCTGTTGTGCCTGGTTGCGGAGATTGATCATCTTCCCTGCGCATCTAGCACAACCATCACACCCGTCCTCTTGCGTGAGCTGGCTTCCACCAGGGTCATGCGTGCTAATTAGCTTGGGGTGCTCAGGGAACTTTCCAGCGGCTACATCAGCATCATTGGACGGGGAATTAGAGACGAAGTCATCCATTTCGTCCGACAGGTCCTCCAGTTCGGTCAACGGCGAGTCACCGGAATCGTAATTGAGGTTGAGAGGCGGGACCATAACGCTGATCTGACAAGGAGTTTTATGGTCAGTGCCATTGCTATATTTTATGCAATCTCATCGACGAAATGGTCAATTCGTGCGACAACATACTGTTTCTCCCTTCTTTTCTTCGTCCTGCGTATTAGCTGACTTGCGGGGTCTTTTCCTCAACTTCCATGCATCTAATTGTGGGATATCTCGCTCGCCTTGTATGAAGCGTGCTGGAGGTTTTATTGTCCGCTTCGCACCGGCAATGATGTGTTCGTCGGTTATTTCTAGAGAGATATTGTGCGTTGGTTTGTGATCTTCTTGCACATAGCAGAATCGGCTGCCGCCGACACCCTTGAAATAATTGGTTCCGGGGATGTCTTGATCGCTGCCCATTTTGCCCCTGATTCAAACGATGGTCGCAAAAGCACTACTTTCTCAAGTAAAATCGAAAAATTGTGAGGCAAAAAAAGCCCATATTATCAATAGGGAGAAATATAGGGGGTGATGGCATCAGGGACGGAGACAACGAGGATCAAGGCGCCCCGATGCGTACAAATCCGAAGTGCGGCCTTCGGCCTGCCTATTTAAGTCAAGGCTTGAAAGAGATCCCCTGCTGACCTGCAGCAGGAGTACACCAATCCCAGTTAGATTTGCAAAAAATTTCAGTCAGGGGCAGTTGCTGCCTACTGGTTGCAGCCTTGCACTCTGCCTCGTGCCCAGCGCTATAAATCACTAATTCTAGTGGTGAGTTCGTGCCGATTTTTTTCGCCGAGTGTGCTCATTATTATACAGCATCAATTTTTGTTTGCTATGGCCCAGCGATCGAATCCACCAAGACGCGTACGGCGCAAACTTGCTCATAAGGATTCCTCGACCAGCACCTCCACGAGCAGAGTATCGGACGAAGATGACGTCCAGCTGCGACACAGTCCACGATACGGGCAAAATCCCCTTACTGCGAAAAAACTTCTACTATGCCTCGATTATGGAACGACCCTAACTTCAATTTCGTATATCACCTTCGACCCAGATGACCCTCCTATAGACGTCCATCCAAGAGGGATCCGATGCATAGCAAACTGGCCGCAGGCCAGTCGATTCGTCAACGCAGCGAGCCCATTTGTGCCTAGCGAAAGCTGGTATCGTGATGGCAAATTTCTGTGGGGCCATGAGGTTCAACATACGCTACGCAATCTATCAGAGAATGATGATGCAGATTCGATGAACTGTATCATTCAGCTTCCGAAACTGTTACTGGATGATGACGGGGAGGGCGTGGACAATGACCGGCTGTCACAGCCGAGGAAGGCACTCCGCAAGGTAGGTAGAACTGCCAAGGACGCCATTAGGGACTATCTCATGAAAGTCTTCAAGCATACCCATGGCCAATTGGGGAAATATGAGGGCTTCAATGATACTTGGGAGGTCGAACTAGTGCTATGCGTGCCATCCAAGTGGTCAACGTATGCGCATCTCACAATGCAGGAAATTATGCTTGACGTAGTGGAGAAGACGGATATGAGAGGGAGGGAGTTTTCTATATTTATCATTGATGAACCTGAAGCTGCAGTAACCTTTGCACTGCGCCACGAAAACATCCGCGAACATATTGAAGTACGTATGGATGTTCTCGCTGTGTCTGCGTTGACGGTACTCACAATCTGCAGAAAGGGTCCAACTTCGTTGTGTGTGATGCTGGAGGTGGTACTGTTGTAAGATCACCTAGATGTTATGCTTTATCACCAGCTGTAGGTGACTGATGGTTCACGTCTCTCTAGGATGCGATCACCTACAAGGTGCGGCAGGAGGATCCCTTCAGAGTCGATGAGATAGCCACCCCAGCCGGTATACCCCCTTCCAATACTTATACTGGGCAACAAATTAACAACAATAACAGGGAAAGACTGCGGTTCAAGCTATATTAACCAGGCTTTTATTGAAGAAACTAGAGAAAGACTGGCACACATCATTGAGCTGGGCAGGGAGCCCAGGTATTCCAAAGAAGCAGTCATTCAAGAAGACCTATTTCGTACCTTCGAGCACGAGTTAAAACGAATCTACGACCCGGCTGACTGGGAGGAGAGAGAGAGTAGAGAGCTTCGCGTTTTCGGACTAAGGGAGGACCCGACGAGGAATTTTGGGAATGGGATGTTTTTCATCACGAAGTAAGACACCCGCAAGTCCTCAGATATCCACCTCCTGACGGAGTTACAGAGAACAAATGGATAACTACTACAGGCGAAGCCTTGAAGGAACCGTGGATTTGATCGTGGAACAGCTGGAGCAACTTAATGGCGAAAAGGTCAAGGTAAAGCTGTCTACTGCCGTCCGACGTCCCTGGACGCACCCTGTTGAAATTAGTCTAGTTGTTGCTAACAGCTGTAGGTCATTCTCCTCCTCGGTGGGTTTTCTGGTTCGCCGGCCCTGAAGCGCTGCCTGAACGACACTTTCGGGCCAGACGACCTTAAAGTCATCCATCTGGATCAGGACATGTAACCCATCCCAGATCCTGTCAACATTTCCCCTGGCCACAAAGCTAATAATTTATTCAAGAGACATGACTACGGCAGTATCTCGGGGCGGTGTTCTTCGTGCCCTAAATAAAGAGGACGGCCCACGCCGCAAGCTCAGGCTGAATCTCGGAGTTTGTCTCAGTGAACAATACGACGAGAGATTCCCGGGTGATTTAGCTGCCCCATGGTTTCATAATCCTCTAAATAGAAAGAGATATGTAAAAGATTGCATGGACTGGGTTATTAGGAAGGTATGTTTGCACCCAGATCGCGCGGGAGACCCAATACTTCTGACGTTCCCTACACTTAGCCCGTCGCTAATGCTCGAATAGGACCGTGTCCTCGCCCAGGGAGAGTCGGCTGAAATTTGTATGCATCGCGCATTTGAACTAGGCCAGGAGATGGCCGCTTATGAGACTATCTATTTTTCGGACCAGCGGGTCTTCCAGCACTACCGCATAGATCACCCTAAGAATCGTGGTGAGTTGAACATAAAAGCCATAACCCATGAGTCCCAATTCGGCGCTAATTTTGGCTGTCAGGCCACCGCAAAGCGGGAGTCGTCGAGGCATCCCTTGAAGTCCTTCGGAGGAGAAACATGCTGAAGGAGAAAATTAACGAGGTAGGCGATGTGTACTATGAAGTCCACTACAGCATCAAACTGGAAGTGAATGGCCGCAATGTCAAGGCAACGATTCATTGCCCTCCAGGACAAGAAGTCCAAGGGGAAGCACAAATTTGCATTGCCGCTGCTTTCAGTCCTGGTACGAATTGAGCGGAACATGCCGACAAGCATTGTCAGGGCCCCCTTTCTTACTGGCTTTTGATTAGTATGAATTTGTATAATAGCCAGCGTGACTTTTCCCCTCACAGTCGCGACATAACAACTACACTGACCCAGAGGTCCGACACTACAAATACCGAAATTTGACCAGAACAGTAAGTTATAATTAGTTATCTTCTTTCCACGCTACTGTAATTTGCGTGGGTTCATTGTCATCGTCGTCGCTAGAGGCTTCGTCAGATGATAAGAGCAGTATTGGGAAGGACGACGAGCCGTGGAGGATAGACCCAGTAGATATGAGCTCTTGCAGCGCTGAAATCCAGGGGTGGAAACTTTCCCTTTTCTTTTCAGTTTCCAGTACCTGGAATGGTCTATCGGACGATTAATGTAGGCCAAATATTCTGCTGGGTCGTGACTAAGACACAGCGGAATGGCACTATAATAGGCGCCCTCATAAGACATTCGATCCACCAAATGTACTGCATCGGCAGCTTCATACGAGCCATCCACGATGTAAAGGCATCGGCGAGGAATTCCGGGCACTTTTTCTTCGCAATCGACTAGTACAGTGCCATTAGAATGGAGAGATAATTGCTCCAGGTGCGGCCACACTTTCGGTCCTTCTGTGTATAGGCTTTGTTTGCTTTGCATATGCGAGTAGCGCAAATAGGAGTCTGGCGACAGACGTCGTCCGATAGTGTGATATTCGATGACCAACGACACCAACTTAAGAACAGAAATTGAGTCGTCGCGTTTGAACCCAAAACACGAGGGTGCAATGGGCCCTGCGCGTTTACGCGAAGTGTTGGTAAGGCACTGCATGGATATTGCGGCAGCCAGAGTGTCGACTATCGATGAACTTTTTAAGAAATTGAGAAATCTCTCCGTCTCGCGGCTAGTATATAGAGGGGCCCTGTTGAAGACGGCTAGCCTCTCGTTTCCCCAAAGCTGCGCTACTGCCCTGCTGGAGATGGCGAGACAAACAAGCTGGCGTACTGGCTGCCAGTCTGATGCAACAAACATCCGGAAAGTGAACCTAACAAAGAAGAAGGGGCTTCTATCTGGCGCGTGGCTGGAAGCAGCGGATCTGGAAGTCCTCGTCCAAGCTTCCTCGATACCATAAAGGGTATCTGGCACCCAGCGCCACGAGTCCTCCAGGAGAGAGGACATTTCGATCATTGTCTCCCGGTATGTTCCCTGAGAGGCAAACGAAAGCCTGAATGGATCCACGTCGTGTTCCGTTATGTACAGAGCCATGAATCTAGACTCGATCACGGAAGCGTCTCTCACAACCCCTTCTGCATGAAAGAGATTCAAGTAGTCTCCGCTGGAAATAACTGACCGTGGTACAGTCTGAGATGGAAAGCCAACGGAGTCATTGGGAAGAGAAGTCAAGACTGTGGAACATCGCTCAATAGTCGACAATATATCAGGGTCAGAATCCGGGATGTATTCCGTGGACAGGCTGCTGAGCTGGGCCAGCAGAGACTGCCGATAGACGTCACGAGCCCAGTCGAATATGTAGTCAATAATCAGAAGAAGCTGCAGCGAGCCATCCTCGCTCGTTAAATCCCCACTCCACAAGCTCACGGTCACCTATCTCGATATCAGAGAGCTGGAAGGCATGATGAGACTTCAATGAAGCTTACCCATTCAATGGAGCCGCACGCGTCTTTGACAAAGCAACCAGCCACGTTCCACCGCTCCCCAGACCACGATAAAAACCAGACTAGTGGCTCGAACGTGCCACAAACACACTCACCAGCCTTCCGTAACTCAAGTTGTAGTCTCAACAGGCGCCGAATGCAAAAGGCTGTTTGCATCTCCACGGCTGCCATGTCCCCGTGCTTGCCAGATTTGGCTTCCATTATCAAGAAAGGAAAGAGCAATCGCTCACCTTCGTCATCAAAAGGGCTCACTTCAATTGTATCCCTGAGGGTTTTGACATTTCCAACATACGCCGTATGCTTGTTTATGGAGTCCAATACCTTCTTCAAGCTACCTGTGTCTCGCAGCCCGTATATTCTGTCTGGTTCTTCTGATACTTGGCCTCTTCTTCGGCCTTCAATAGGTAGAGGTGGGTCATGTTTAATGGTTGCTTGAGCGCGGTCTGAGAACAACATGTTCACCCCGTTCTCGTATCCACTGAGTTTAGCTTAGCTAATTGCAGCTCCCTGCCATCCATACATTCTCAACATCAACTGAAATGCGTAGTTCGACCTACCTGTTGTAACTCCACTGGTCAACACACCGGCATGGCTCACGGCGCCTACGCCTAGCCTCCAAGGACTGAGCAAATGGCTGTGAGGACTGCACCGCGGCTTCGATCTCCGATTTCCAGAGCCTGCTACGACATCTGGGACTAAATGACTCAGACGTATGTCAGACACGGTCGTAAGGTGTCCCTTAAAATTTGTCCCGCCATAGCTTACCAGGTTACTTCAACCGTAAATCTATGGAGAACCTCCGGTTCAATCGAGAATCTCCACCCGGCCTCATTCTTCCTATCCTCCCTGGATATCTGACTTTGCTGGACTAGGCGCGCTGCCCTCTGCTTCGTTTGACGTCGCCAGGGCTTGTCTATCGAGTCAACAGAGACAGTCTCACTAAAGCTCGAATATTTCTGATTCCCGAGCTTCTGAATATCTTCGAATAGCCTGCGGTGGGCATCAGGCCATTGACTGGATGGGGCGGGGCCAAGAAATCGGATGTTAAGCTCTTTGGCGTAATCCCATCGAGCCCTAAATTCCGCTTGATCCATCTTGAAAATTCAATATGCCCAGCAAAAGTCTGGCCTATGTAACTGGAACAGTCCTCGTTTTAAGAGGGAAAATCTCCATGGGATCCCAGGTTGCAATACCCCACACTTTGCAGCACATCTCACTGCGCCACAGTCACCAATATTCTCTGTGAACAGTCAACGGCCCACTGAGCTGATCTTTATATATCAGAACATTCTGGGTCTGGACAATAACTTGAGCTCCTAGTCACTAACCGAGTGCTAGTGGTGACCAGTTCTCGTCACGTTGCATATGTATGCAGCGGCCCTGAGTCACACCGCTTCTTAGTATAGGGGCTCAAGATACGGAGTAACGGAGTACTGCGGGCAGAAAAATTGCAGGTCGAATTGTTGCGGGGTGATGGGAATATTCGCTCATACACGTCAGCACTTCAGGACACGCAACAGGGCCTCAAAACTGGTTCAGGTACAGGAATAAAGAACGGGGCAGCGAGGGCGCTAAACCCAACGAATCTAAAAAGAGAGAAACAAAAACATACAACAGCGGGGATTCGCTGGTGGTCACCCACCCAACTACTAACCGGCCGGCGTGTGGCTTAAGTACGGCTGAGCGGACGGGAAGCCCTGTTTTCCACACCCTATGGTCGTATGTGTGAGATATGAAGCAAGTTCTAATTATATGGCGTTGTTTAAAGACTATTACAGGATTATACTGTTCAAGTGCAATGATATCCTAGTGGATGAATGTCTTTTTGCTAGTGACAACTGACAAGAACCAGAGCTGCAGCTCTGGCTGAAATTAGATCCAGCCCCTCCTGATGCTTACTGCTCAGCGCGAGTAGCTTAGTTATGGCGGACTATTTGTACAAAAAGGACACATCACTTTTTTTACTGTTCACCGCATGTATTACCTACTGCCACTACCTCCATAAATATCAAATGGCATATTGTTGGAAACTGCTTTACTGTCATAAGTTCAGAAATCACTAGTATTTTGCATATAAAGTAAAAAGTAATGAAGGTCTGATTCTGTCTAACTACAGGCTATCTAATATGCCTTTTATACTACTGGAATAGGGGCTATCTAATGATATCTGTATATACTAATATTAGGGGTAAGAGGTTAGATCCTTCTAGAGTAGCAAGATCTAATGCTATAAAGGGAAGATTAAATTAATATAGAAAGAATAAGTAAGAAGGGAAGAATAAGTAAATTATCTAAAATAGATAAATAATAAGTTATATTAATACACCCCCCTAGCTGAGCTGATAGGCAAAGCTATATAAATCTAATAGTATTAAGGCTATTTATAGTGCCTAATTAGGTAATTATATTAAATCTTAGGTATAAAAGGAGGTTATAGCTCCTAGTTTATAGCTCCTAATTAGCTAACTAGGCTAACTATCTTATAGAATTCTTAGTACTTATTATATAGAAGCACCTTTATAAGGCTATTAATAGGTATCTAGGCTATTTCTATCTATTTAATAGAGATATAGCCTATCTAGACCTCCTAGTAAAGCTAATACTAGTATATATTAATATGCTATAGCTTTATATAAATTATAGGTTCTTAATTATAAAGTATGCCTACTATTTACTTATTATTATATAAGATAGATATTTTATACTCTAGGTTAGATCTAATATTAAGAAATAGTTATTTCTACTAGAAAATATTCTTTTTAGCCTTAGATGTGACAGTCCAGATCTTGATCTCGACCCGTCACGTGATCCGTCACCTGTTAGCGAACCTATCTCCCACAATGTCTCGCACCGTCCCTACTTCTCTTTTCCTCCCTTCTCCATGCTAGAATTCTTG